GAGCTGGGCCTGCGGCATTCTGTGATGCCAACAGACACCCAGTGTGGCACTGGGGTGCCTGCAGTGCTGTGGGCAGTGTGAGCCATGGGCAGGTGCCTTGGGCAGCCCCTCCATACCCCCAGCCTGTCCCCATGCCAGGCTCATTCTGCCCTGCCACCCCACCAACCAGCCCCTGAAGGGCCACTGTGCCCTGTGTGCAAGGCTGGGACAGGAACAGCTGTGGGCAGAGCTGATGAATGAGAGAGAGGGTGCTCAAGGTGATTGAGTGGTGGCACTCCAGGCTTGTGGCCCAGCAGATGGTGCCACCCCTGTGCCATGCAGCTCTCAGGGAAGTGGTTCCTGGTCGGCATGGCCTCCCGCTGCAGCTACCTGGCAGAGCACAGCCACCAGCTGGAGGCCACGACAGTGACAATGACCGTCCTGGATGGGCAGAGCCTGGCCATCAGCACCTTCAGGAAGCTGTGAGTGATGCCAGGCACGGGGGCCGTGGGCAGAGACAGGGATGCTGCAGGCAGGGTGGAACAGGACCAGTGCCTTGGGATGGGGACTGAGAGCAGTGCCAGTGCCCTGGCCATAGGCTCCAAAGAGGACAGAGCTGCCCCAGAAGCAAATATGGGTGGGATACCCTCCAAGGAATTTTGTAGTCAAAACCCTGGCCACGATGGGCGCCCTGGTCATGATGGACACTCTGCCACCCACATGTCCACTAGCCCAAGCCGAGCTGGGGGTGCCCAGGCTGGTCAGTGTGAGGACAGCCAGGCTGGCAAAACTGAGACGTGGTGGCTCTAAGGCTGCCCAGCCCAGGACTGGCTCTTAGGACTATCCTAGGAGCAGCCTGTCTGAGGATGGGGACCTTCAGCACATCTGTGAGCACTTTCCCCAGCCTGATGGGCCCTAAGGTCCTGACCAGGCTCAGCGTTGCAGGGAGGTGGCAGGGACTCCTTGAGCTCAGCATCTCTCACAATGTCTCCCCAGTGTTCTGGGACATCTTTCCCTGGGGAGAAAACCGAGTCCCAAGGAAACAGCATGTGTGCCTTGGCAGGCAGGGTTGCAGGGATCCTAGAAGATCCTCCACAGCCTGTACTGACATCTCCTCCTCCTCTCCCCCTGCAGGGACAGGATGTGCTGGGAAATCAGGCAGCACTACCTTCCCGCCCAGGCCCCCGGACGCTTCCTGCTGAAGGGTGAGGGAGACTGCTCTGGGGCCCCCCAGTCCCCCCAGGAGGCTGCTGGAGCCCTCAGTCCTGCTCTCAGCAGGGTTTTGGTACCAATGTCCCTCTTCCCAGTGCACTCCTAGTATTTTGTGTCTTGGGTCACTAAGTGCCAGATGCCATTACAGGTTACACCATGGGCTGGTGCCTGTGGGGTTGTCCCACTCTGGTTCTGATTTTCACTGCTCGCACACTCGGCTTGTGGTGAAAAGAAGCCCCTGGATGATGCTGGGGCTAACCAGGACTGACTGGGACTAACTGGGCTAGCGTCTCGTCTTTCCCAGGCCATAGGAAAAGCAGCAAAGTGGATGTGGTGGTGGGTGAGGCTGACCCCAGCAGCTTCATCATTCTCTATTACCAGAAGGGCCGCGGCATCTCTGTTAAGCTCTATGGTAGGTTGGGGCTCGGGGTCTCATGGCAGGTGAATGACAGTGGTGGGAAACCTGTGCTGGACTCTGGAGAGGCCAGCTGAGGCCTTGGAGGACCCAACATGGAATGGGGGTCACTCCTAGCTGGAGAATGGTTCCCAGATGCTGTGGGGGAGGGGGAAACTGGGAGCCCACTTCTCTGAGCTGAAAGCCCCCTGGGCCCTGTGTAGGGACGTGGGTGGCTTTGGGCCAGGGCCAGCTGGGGCCTGCAGCCAGTGCTGGTGTCTCCCTGCTTGCAGGACGGAGCAGCCGCGTCAGTGACGCCGTCGTGGACAAGTTCGAGCAGCGCGCCAGGGCCGTGGGGCTGAGCCAGGATGTCACCTACTACTTCCCCACCTATGGTGGGTGGCACATGCTCCTCTGGGAGACCCGTGTGGGCTCTGTCCCCGTGCTCTGGCCACCCCAGGGACAAAGATGCAAGGATGGGGCTGTGCCCTGCAGTGTCCTGGGGGTGCAGGGGCTGGGGAGTGCCAGGTCCCAGACAAGGTGATCCCCCTGGGCTCTATCTCTTTCAGGATTTTGTGACTCTGCAGATGAATTTCACGTCCTCGATGGTGAGTTGGGGATGCTGGGTGATGCGCTGGGTGCCCCCATGTGCCAGGCTTGGTCCCTCACTGGGCACCAGCTGGGTGACCCTGTCCTGTCAGTGGGCTGGGCACACTGGGCCAGATCCACGCTGCACTGTGGCTGTGTGGTCCTGCCCCAGGAATGTGGGAGGGCTGGGCTGGCACGGGAAGGGCCATGCCAGACCATTCCCCAGGACAGAGCTTGTGCCCTTGTGTGGCAAACCATCACTCACGATGGGCATCAGGTGGCAAAGCAAACCCCGCTCACTTGCCACATGGGTCAGACTGGGCTTGATGGATCTATACTGGTGTTTCCTGGGGTGAGGTCTGATCTAGGATGAGATGTCCTGGCACAGGGGCACGCTGGGGTGAAGCCTGGGGTCCTTGGGGACAGCTCCATTACTTGTCATTGGTGCTTGGCAAGGCAGAGGTAGGTCTTCAGCCCTGGTGCTGGGCTTGGACACCCCCGCCAGCCCCTCAGCACTTCTCTTCCTTCCAGAAACGAAGCTGTAGGTGCAGATGGAGTTTCCAGAGGGTCCCAGAGCTCAGCCCTCACCTCAGCCAGCAGCCCATGGCCACACAGACCTGAGCTCCTCAGCCCTTCCAGCTGTGCTGGCAGCTGTGTCTGTCCTTGTCCTGTGCCCCCCCAACTTGTGTCCCCCCTCTGCTCTGTGCCTCACTCTCCTGCAGGAGCCAGCAACACCCCAATAAATGCCTCAGAGAAGAGCCTGTGTACAGGCCAGTCACCTCTTGGTCTGCCCCAGCCAGGCCAGCACTGCCTGCACCATGGCCTGCCAGTGCCTTGGGCATGTGCTCCTGGCTGGGGGGTGCCAGGGGGTGTTGGGGGGACTCTGCAGACCCCTTCCATGCAGACCCCTGCCATCTTCTCTGCAAGCCTTCCTCAGCCACGGACAGCAGGGCAGAATTGTGGTGATTCCTGATCCAGCTGGCAGGGGCAAGCACTGAGGGGAACCACAGGGAGCCTGGGGCCACAGGGAGCATGGACTTGAGGGCTCTGAGGGAGACCACAGCATCTGCCTTTTCCCCCAACAAGCTGGGAGATCACTCAGGGACCCGGCGGAGGAAATCTTATTCCCACAGTCCTGCTTCCCATCTCCAGGGGCTGGGAAACATCCCGTTCCCCTGCCCCAGCCCTGCAGAGTTCATTCCCCGAGGGGCTGCTGGACTCCTGCCTGCGCGGCAGCACCTTTCAGAGAGAGGCAGGGGCTGGGGAGCTGCAGGGTTAACGCTGCAGCCCCTCATCCGAGCCCTTGTCCCCGTGTGGAGCCCGGCCAAGGCCGCAGGCAGGTGCGGGGCCCCGCGGGGGGAGCAGCCCTCTGTCCCCACAGCAGCATTTTGCAATCCTAGCGGGAACTGGTAACACATGTTGTTTATCAGGGAATTATGTAAGGGAAGCCACGTGATGTGCCCGGAGTCGGTCCCCGTTCCCCCCACCCAGGTGCGGGGCAGCCGAGCCCAGCCCGACCGCCCCCGAACCTGACAGAGCCGGGCTGTGAGCACCCAGCTCATTTTACCTGCTCTGCGAAGGGGTTGCACCGGGCAGGGGGATCAGGGAGGAAGGGGAGAGCCCCGGGGACCTGGGCTGGTCCCCAAGGATTCTCCACACCCTTCACACCGGCTTAGCCCGTCCGTCGTTGGGGCTAAACCATTTCTGGGTGCAAACACCCAGGTTATGCCCAAGGGTCTGTGTCCAGCCCCCGCGGGGATCCACAGCCCAGATACCTCATCCTGCCCCCAGCCCTGCTCTTTGTGCCCCTTGCCACCGTTGGTGTTCCCCTGTGCCCCCAAGTGCTCCAGCTTTGCCACCCAGGTCCTTGGGCTGGCTCCCAGCTTTGCCACCCCCAGGACAGCCGAGCACCACCCGGATATCCATCGGGCACCCCCTCCTTGCCCCTGGGCAGGGAGTACCTGGCAGCTGGGGGTACCTGGCAGCAGAGGGGGCTTTGTGTTCCTGCCGCAGTGCCAGGGACAGCCCGGGTGTTCCCTGCCCCTGTGCCCGATGGAGAGAGTCTCCCCCAGCACCCTGAGGGTGAGCTCCGGGGCAGACTGAGCCCCAGCCCAGCATACCAGGCCCCAGCCAGGCTCTCGTGATGTGCAGCCCTGCGTGCTCAGCTTTTGTTTTGTTTTCCTAAGCCCGCGGGGCGGGGCAGGCGCGGGGTGTGCAGGGCAGAGCGGCCTCGCAGCGGGGCGCGGGGAGGGAATGTGCAGGGGGGGCTGCCAGGGGAAAACCAGCTGCTCTGAAAACATGCTCCTTACGTAAAGCACCTTGGCAGGGCTGCGCCGCGGGGCTGGGGCTCTGCCCGGCATGGCCAGCCCTACCCAAATCCTGCCAGACCCATGGGCGTTGCTGCTGGCACCCAGCATACATCCGCTGCTCTCACCCTGCAGGGGCATCCCCAGATTGAGGGGGGCACCTTAGTACCCACTGGTGACCCCAAACCAAGGGGGAAGGGCATCTCCAGCCCCTCTTGTGTAAGGGTTGCCGGGCGAGTGGGGTGTCAGGTTCTAGGGTGCATCTGGCTGTATGCTGGTCCCCAGGGAGCTGAACATGGGGCTCCCCGGCTCACCAGTGGGACGCACCCCAAGCTAAGGCCAGCAAAGATACTTCCTTGGGTACTTGAGTCAAGGCAAAGCAAGGTGTCCTGTAAGAGCACATGCAGGTGTCGAGTCTCATGGGTTGGGTTGGGACCTGGCAGACACTGGACATTTCCTCCATCTCACTGAAGCCCCACTCTGGGTCCGAGTGAGGCCTCCCTGTGTGGATGGGGCAGCGCTGGCCCCTCTCCATGGCTGCTCCCCACGCCGGCCCGGCAGCACTGGGGGCAGGGCAGCCCCTGCGCTGGCCACTGGCTGTTTTCACTGCAGAGCAGTTTGGCACCCTGGAGCAAATATGTCATATCAACAGGAGGGAAGCATTCACAGGATCCCCTGCTTGCCCTTTGGCTTCAGCGCTCTGTGCTGCTCCAGCTTGCATAACGGCACGGGGGGAGGCAGGGCTGGCTCCCGGGGGCCCCGCAATGCCTGGCCATAAATAGGGGCTCGCCAGATTCTCCAGCACTGCAGCGCTCTGCCTCCAGCTCTCAGCTCAGCTCGGCTCGGCTCTGCCATGCAGACCATGCTGTTCAGCATCCTGGGGCTGGCCCTGCTCGGGACACTGCACGCGCAGGACAGCATTCCTGTCCAGGCTGACTTCCAGCAGGACAAGGTGACCCAGGCCAACCGGCATCACCTCCGTGGAGGTTTGGGCTGTTTTGGGGGATCCTTGCCCTGAAAATGTGGGGAGGGGGTGGTGCAGGTGGATGGGGGGCCAGGCTCGCACTGGTGCACATGCAGCCTCTCATCCTGGGGACCTCCCAGCACCTGGGTTTGGCGGCTCTGGAAGGGATCCAGCATCGAGGCTGTGGGGCAGAACCCTGGGTCGGGCATGGGGCCGAGCTGCTGCTGTGCTGCAGAGTGGGGGTGGATGCACAGGGAGAGAGAGAAAATGCAATCTCAGTCTGACAGCACAGAGATGGGCCATGGGAACCCCTCCCTCCCCAGTAAAAACCCCAGCCCAGGGCCACAAAAAAACAAGGGCTGCTGTGCTGGGATATCCCCTGCATCCCTTCTCCCCTGGAAAAGTCCTGGGGGACAGTCACCCCAGGCAGGTGATGAGGATGGCAGGAGGCACTTCCTGCAAGGACAGGGGTTTGGGATGTGCTGCAAGGGTGATCCCAGCACAGCTGCTCTCCAAGGTGGGCAGTTTCCCTCAGGGGCATCACACTGGTGGCTCCATGCACCAGAATGGAATGAGCCATGCTGGACCCAGCGTCCTGACCCATCCTCACACCCCCAGATGGATGGAAATGGTATCTCAGAGCCAGGCAGTCCTGTCACGCTCCCTGGGCTTGGGGTGAAGAGGAAGGAAACACCCAAGGGCAGTGAAGGACATGTCATGAAACGGGGATTTCCTTGTTCCTGAGTTTTGTGGTTGCCAAGAGCTGTAGCAGCTCCCTGTGAAATTACAACCTTGGGACACTGTCCTGCTGTAGGGAATGGGCTGCCAGAAGAGAGGGACATGGCCCAGGCTGGGGCTGGTGGGTGAGAGAGTCCGTTCCCAGCTGGGGCTGACTGGAGGTTGTGTGCAGCTCACAGGGAGATGGTACAGCATCGGCCTGGCCTCCAACTCTAACTGGTTCAAGGAGAAGAGGCACCTGATGAAGATGTGCACAACCATCATCTCCACCACAGCAGAGGGGAACCTGGAAGTTACCTCCACCTACCCCAAGTATGGGGCATGGGGAGCGGGTGAGTGGGAAGGGGCTGCTGGGGGTGGCCACTGGTGCATCCCCTGCTGTTCTGCTTCCCAGGGGTGACCAGTGCGTGACGAGGAACAGTCTTTACACCAAGACAGAGCAGCCGGGGCGCTACAGCTACACCAGCCCACGTGAGTGCTCAGCTTCCGTGGGGCAGCCCCGGACATGCTCCCAGCCCTGCTGTCCCTGCTTCTGCCTTGTGGCTGATTTGGAGCTCAGGGCTGAGCTGTGCCCCATGTTCCCCACAGGCTGGGGCAGCAAGCACAACATCCATGTGGTGGAGACCAACTACGAAGAGTACGCCTTGGTGGCCACCCAGATCTCCAAGAGCACTGGTCCCTCCACCATGGTGCTGCTCTACAGTACGTCTGCCCCAGGACCCCCATGCTGTCCGTGCCCCCCAGATGTCTGTCTTTCCCACGAGAGAAGGGCAGGGTTAGGGTCATTTCCCAAGCTGGGGTGACCTTAGGGGGATGATGGCTGGGTCAGGGCCCCCTTGCAGGGCTGCCTGTGCCCCTGTGCTGGGGGGTATGGGGGGACTTGTCTCTCACCCTGCTCTTGGCTGCAGGCCGGACAAAGGAGCTGAGTCCCGAACGCCTGGAGATGTTCACCCAGTTCTCCAGGGGGCAGGGCCTGACCGACGATGAGATCCTCATCCTGCCCCAGACAGGTGAGCCTGGGAGCGCAGGGATGGTGGCGGGGAGTAGGGGGTGAGATACCACAGGGGGAGAGAAGGAGAAGACCCTGCTGGCCTCTCTATGGGGCCAGCCATGGGGTGCCCCCATTCAGGATCCCTCAGTGGGGCTGAGTTCCCACAGCCCCCAGAGGAGCTGAGCTGATCTCCCTGTTTCTTCCTCCTGCAGACAAATGCATGGCAGATGCTGCTTAGGTGAGTCCTGCCTTCACTGGGGCTCAGACCAGCCCTGTGGGATGGTGTGGGGATGCTTAAAGCCACATCACCCCACAGAGCCCCCAGCCCCTCCACACCCCTTCCCTGGGTTGCTGCTCTCCTGACATCGACTGGGGATCCCCCACCCAGCCCTGTGGGGTGTCTATCCCCTCAGTGTGAGGCTGGCCAGGCCCATGTCCCCCCTGTGTGTTACCTGGTGTCCCTCATCTTTTCCAGGCAGAGCCACCACCTGCTGCCAGCCCGAGCCCCAAAAGCAACGCAAGCTGGTGACCACCCTGCCCCATCTGATCCGCAGTGGCCCCCCAGCACCACAGCCGCCTTCGCTCCCTGTCTTCACAATCCACACCTGGATCCCTGTCTTCATTAAAACCCATTAAAAAACAATCCCCTTCTGCTGGATTGTTGTGGGGCAGGCCCAAACACGGCAATGGGCAGGGGAAAGCATGGCCAACAGGGTTGGGACTGGGATTAGTGGTCAGGGCTGACCCCAGCTCCTGGCTTTGGAGCTGCTGGGGTGAGACCCCATGTGCACTCACAGCCCTGCCCGATGGTGCTGCCTGGCCACTGAACCTGGCCTGTCCCACAAAAAAGGGTCCCTGAGTCTAGGACCCCTGGGCATCTGCTCCCCCTCTGCTCCTTGAGCACCCTGGGCTCCCCTGACCTCCCTGCCTTGGTTTTCCTACCGGAGAGCAGGCTGGCAGCATGGGAATGGGACAATGGGCAATCAGGAGGTCTCCAGAAGTTTGGGGAAGGATGGACATGAAGAAGGATGTCGTGGGTGTGGCTTGATCCTGAGCATCTCCCGGGCTCCATCCCATGAACCCGGACCCTCTCCAGCAGTGGGGTCTGAGTCTGGTGCTACCAGCCTAAGAAGCCACCACCCCTTCTGAGGGCGCTGGGCTGTGGCTCAGCCTGGGGTAGAACACCAACATAACCATTCTCTGGCACTGAGAACCCTGAGGCAGGATCCATCCCACCACTGACAGACCCTGGAACCAAGGGGAACAGCCAGGAGGGGGCCCCTGGGGTGCATGTCACATTCCTCCCCGTACAGAGCGGACACGGGGCAGCACTGGGTCCTGGTGTGCTCTGGGCTGGGTCTCACACAAGGCTGCATTCATCTGAAACTGGGGGGGACAGGGCCAGCACTGTCACCTAAGCCAGGCACAGGTTATCCCTGCTCTTGTGTAACCTGTTGCATAAAGCTGGCGTGGGCAGGAGTGCTGCCAGCAGTGGGGGCTATAAAGTGGGTGCAGCGTCTCCTGCCCACATCCACTCCAGAGTGAGGATGGCAGCAGCACTGCCCAGCCTGGCTCTAGCCCTGCTCTGCCTGCTGCAGGCAGGAGCCCAGGTGCCCGTGCAGCCGGACCTGGACACCGAGAAGGTAAGCACAGCACGGTGCTGCCCGGCACATCCTGCCTGGACTGGAGGGGCTGGCTGGAGCAGGGGGCCTGTGCTGCACCCCAGGGCACCTGCCAGCCATCCCTGAGCCAGCTCCAGGGCAGCTCCCAGGAGAACCTGTGCAAAACCAGGTCAGTCCTGGAACTGTGTCCAGCACCAACAGCCCTACTGCATGGACACCAGCACGTGGGGCCATGATGTCTGCAAGCATGTGGCACTTTCCCAGGGAACATGGGCCGGGTGCTGCACCTGTACTCTTAGCATGGGGCAGGACAGGGTGTTCTGCATGCAGGAAGGTGGCAGTTCCCCATGTTTGCCTTGCTGCTCCCCACAGAGGGTGGCAGGTCTGCCACCACCAGCTGGCAGGTTTCTATAGTGGGCTGTCATGTTGCCCATAGTGGAGGGCAGATCCCCACAGATGGTGGCTGGTCCCTGAAGAGGGTGACAGGTCCCCACAGAGAGAGGCAGGTCCGCTGTAGGCTGGCAAATTTCTGCAGTGGGCTTCCAAGTCCCCCTAATGGAGGAGTGCAGGTCCCCCTGGCAGGTCCCCACAACTTTTCCAAATTCCACTGGTGATGTCCTGCTGCAGTTTGCAGGGGAGTGGCATGTCACAGCCATTGCTTCCAACTGCTCCGTCTTCCTGAAGATGAAGGATGGGATGAAGTCATCCATGGCCATCGTCAGCTTCACACCAGAAGGGGACCTGGCCATGAAGTTGGTCTTACCCCTGTAAGTGACCATCCTGCTCACTGTGTTCCCCTGTGGGCAGGAACTCCCTTCCCCCCGCCACAGCAACTCCCCCACTGCTCTGGGTTGCCCAGTTCTGCCTCAGTGCATCCCCCTGGGCAGGCTGGGCCCATCTCACTCTGCTGCCTTCCCACGGGTCTGGTCACATTTGTCTTTTTCATGTTCCTTTTCCAGGATGGACAAATGCCAAGAGTTTGAGCTGCTCTTCCAGCAGAGTGGGCAGGCGGGGCGCTACATGGGTATGTGTGGAGAGGGGCTTTGGAGCCATGGGTACCCCGAAACAGAGGGCATCCCCAGCCCCCATGCCTCGGCAGTAGTGGGAGGTGGGCTTGGCCCCTCTGCCTCCACGGCTTAGCAAGAGGTTGTGGGTGGGTGGGCACCTGGCTCCTCCACATTGAGCAGGGGTTCCTTCCTCATACGGCCTTCAGGCAAATTTGAGGTTTGAGCTGTGGGCCTCAGCAGGGCCCAGGAGGGCTCAGACTGTACCATGTCACCCAGACTGTCACCTCTGGGGTCCTTAGGAGCACAAGAGAAGAGGAATCTGTGTGTGATGGAGACAGACTACAGCCACTACGCTGTCCTGCACGAGGTCCACAGCGAGACAGAGCCCAGCACGGCGCTGCAGCTCCTCAGTATGTTGGGAGTGGGGACCTGGCTCCTGGAAAGGGATGGGGGCACCAGCAGCAGGCAGGGACTGGGCTCCCCACCACTACCCAGGGCCACTACCAGCAGCACCCCATGTCCATCACCTAGGGAATTAATTTTGGGGTGAATGAAACCTTGCACTAAAGTAATCTCCAGCTGGTTGCGGGTTGAACCAGAGCCCCCTGCAGTGTGCAAGCCCAGCTGCAGCATCCCAAGCCTGCCAGCCACCCCAAACCACCCCAAACAAATGGGTCGCTGATCCCAAGCAGCTTGTGACCCTTTGCTGCCAGCCCAGGGCAGCTGTGGGTCCACCCTGCGTGTTCATGGCTTCACCTTGGCCCTTCCCTGGGGTTCAGCTGCTGCCCCACAGTACCTGGAGCCCCAGTGTGGGGCTGGCTGCTGGGATTCCTTGCTGGGATTCCTTGCTGGGATTCCTTGCTGGGATTCACCAGCCCCCACTCTGGGTCTGTGGCTGCAGCAAGGGAGCAGGACGTGAGCCCCCAGCTCCTGCAGAAGTTCAAGGAGCTCATCCCCACCATGGGCCTGACCCAGGACATGCTGGCCATCCTGCCCAAGTCAGGTGAGTGGCCCAAGGGCACAGGGTGGCAGCTGCGGCCCCTCTGCGTGCGGACTGTGCAGGGGCTCGGGGTGCTGCCAGCTGCACACTCACCCCTCTCTTTGCTTTCCAACAGATCAATGCATCGGGGACATGAGGTGAGTGTGGCCAGGGAAAGCTGTGACTCCCTTTCAGCATGGCCTGGGCTGAGCAGGGACTTGCAGGCCCTGGGGGATCCCCCACTTGCCTCGGGGCTCTGTCACCTTGGCTTTGCCCTGCTCTGACCAGTCATCTGCCTGTCCTCCCTCTGCAGCTGAAGGGCCTCGTGTCCTCCAGACCTGGTGGACGATGGCCTCTGTGCCCCACTCCGTGGTGCTCCTTCCCATCCTTCAGGCTCTGGCAGACCCCCTGCTCCATACCAGGATCACCATCAACCTCCTAAATAAATAGATGCAGCAGCTGCCCCAGAGCTCGGTGCTTTGTTGGCGGGAGAAAGGCGGTGCCAGGGTCCCCAGGCACCCTGAGCCCAACGGTTCTGGAGCTGACCCTTCCTGTCAGGCCCCCACAGGTTTTAAGGGGCTCCCTGGATGTGATGTTTGCTGTGCCCAGCATGGGGAGGATGGGGAGCAGAGGATGGGGAAGGTGCAGGGGAGCAGCTGCCAGGGGAGGGAAGAATGGAGCCAGGGTGGACAGGAGCCAGGTGACCACAGCCTAGCTGTGGTCAATAGCTCTGGGCAGACAGGGTGAAGCAGTCAGGCTGCCCAGAGCTGCCTGCAGGGACACCCCCAGAAACCTCATTCCCTTCTCAGTCCTCTCCCAGGCCACCCAGCTGGGAATGGGGTGGCACCAGGGCTGCCTGTGGCCGGACTGGGACCCACATGCCTGCCACCCCCCTTGGTCCCCCATCTCACCAAAGCAAGGCCATGCTGCCAGGAGCCCCAAGGGCAGTTTTTATCTGCCTCCACCTCCTGCACAGTGAAGGCAGCCTCTGGTCCCCCCTCTGCCTCCCTGCCCTGCAGTCCCTCAGTGCCCAGGCAGATGTTGGGCTGTGACCCCAGAAGCCTGGCAGAGCCAGGCCACAGGGGACATCACACTCTGGGCAGGAGGGACACACTTCCACAGCGACACGAACCCCTTGTTCTGCCCATGCTGCTCAGGATGCAGCCCGCTCGGCAGCCCCTGCGGGCCCCAGCGAAGGTCGGGGGGAGGCCGGCGCAGGCACCGCGGGTCAGGCTGAGCCTGGAAGGGCTGGGTTTGGGCAGGACCCCGGCAGCTGCCCTGGGGCACGTTTCAGAAGAACGGGTCATCGAGGGCCTTGGTGAGCTGGGCAACGGGGCTGCCCCGGGGCCGGTGCCGGGAAGAACCTCCTGCTCCTCCTGGCAGCCCGTTGGAAAACAACCGTTCGCTTTGTTCTTTCACAAGCAACTAAAAAACCGGGGGAAATCCCAAATTTCAGCAGTGGCGCAACGGTTCCTGTAACTCCGTTTTGGGGCTGGCAGGCACAAGCCCCTCTCTGCCGCAGGGGTTTGTTGACCCTTGGCTGCCCTGCGGATCGGATCCACCCCTTGCCCAAGGCA